ACACCAGTCTTCCAGGAGTGGCATCGCTCTCAGCAGGAGTGCCAGCCACAAAGACTTTTCCGATGATGACAATGTCCGTATTGTCTCGTCTCCACTGCTCAGCTTCTCGCCACCAAGTGGGATGCCGAGCAACTACTTCCAAGGTTGGTTTTGGACTCATTGCAAGCCAGTCGACCCGACGACGTGAGACTTGGATTACAAAGACTTTCCAAGGCAGGAGTCTGCTTACCCAAGCACAGATAGACACTTTGAGTGCTATCGATTCTCAGGAATCTTAGAGGAACCACCTCTAGCTCCATAGCAACCCCAAGTTCCATCCAATGTCCAAACCAACCAAGCCAGCTTTGGTTACAACAAGTACAAGTCCTGCCACAGCTATCTCACAGGAGTGTGCCAACAGTGACAGCAGGAGTGGTATTGATAAAGTTGTACCCACCAAAACCAAAGTCTCAAACCTTTTTCAACCTTCCTTTGAATTCTCCGATTGATCTATCCAGATTAACACACCAGATCGACTGACAAGAAACGATCATGCCAGATCGAATGACACGAAGCAATCGAATCACAAGCAGCGACCACGAGATCGATTCAGTTTGACTCTCGGGATCGACTCAGAAGATCCATCATGAGATTGCAAGTGCGACCACAGAAGCCTATCAAGGCAGAGCAAGCTTACTCAAGCAAGGGTAGCCACACACCAGTGCTACCGGGATATCTTCTGCAGAGGATTCCCACAGTTCCACAGGAACAGTTCCACCATGGAACCAGCTCAAAGCAAGCAACAGTTCGACGGAACGCCACAAGTTGCCAGCACCCATCTACAAGAGGTGCAAACCAAGGTCCACATCAAGCAAGCACACATTCATGTACAACAAGTCACAGCCATTCAATTCCAAAGAAGAGGAGGCCGTGATGAAGGAAGAAGCTTCCTCAGCTGGGAAGAAGAGGATTCCATTCCTCTGGAAAAGAAAACAGCAGGACATCCAACACTTCTTGGACATCCAACAAGAAGAGACAGCTCGCGTTCCATTCCAATGGACAACAAGCTGACTCCAGATAGCTACCAAGCTTTTGCACAGACTCATGCTCACCTGATTTCCAAATCCAGTATCAAGCCTGAATGGATTGATGTTTCCACACATCATTGGCGATTGAGACCATGGCATATCGATGTCCAGTTCAGTCTACACCGCCAGTCAAGAACACAGTTTGAGTCTACGAGAATGCAGCCGGAACTTCCTAGTTTCCAGCTATGGCAATACCAAGTGACCGGAACTTCCCAGTCCACGGTTCAACAAGTGATCGGAACTTCCCAGTTTCGAATACAGCAACATCAAGTGACGGCACCAACTGCCACAGCAAGTCATACAGGAGTGGCAACACTCACAGGAGTGGTAGCCACAGTGGCTTTCCATGACGAGGACACTGTCCACATGTCCACATTGACTGTGACAGATTTGTCAGCACTGCTATGGATGACAAGCTTCTCGCCACCAAGCGGAATGCCGAGCAACCTAGCAAGTGGTCTCTCTCGACCAACAACTGTTCCTTATGGAACAACCATCATTACATTAATTATTCGTTCCACGGTATCCTTTATGGAACCGTGCAGGAGTGTGTTGGAGGTTGTATTACAGACACCTCAATACAAGTTATTCGTTTATCCCAATCTAGTTTAGAGGGGATATCTATATCAATTCTCTAGTTACATACATGGGGAGTTTAACTGATCTATATGGTCACCCCCTTCACTATATCCTTTGAAGTTGAATCAATCCCAGAAAACATGGAGAAAGATCACTTCTTGGAAATAGCTTAACAGTAAAACAGTATTTTACCTTTACTAAGCTAGAGTGTTACTAGAAACCAACAGATCCTGCGATGGAGCCCTCACGGCGGTTCAGTTCGCAATGAATGCCACGATTCATACCACCTTGCGTGCAACGCTTGCACAGCTCGTGTTCAATCGTGATGCGATTCACAACATCCGTTTCGAAGCAAACTGGAAATACATCAAGGAACGTCGCCAACGACTTATCCAGAAAAACAATGATAGGGAGAACGCGACGCGTGTTCCTCATTAATACAATGTCAACGATACTGTGATGATTCAACAGTATCAGCACCGCAAATACGGTCAGCCAAAGTACAAAGGTCCTTACAACATAGACCGAGTCAATGACAATGGCACTGTACGGCTCCGACATGCTACCGCCAATGGCGGCACAGTCTATCAGACTTGGAACATAATGTATTTACACCCATACAAGGCCTGATCCCCTTATAGGATTGCCATCGTGCGACGCACATGTCTACATCCAATCTCCTGAGAGTGCCCCGCACTTTAATTCATAGGTTCTCCTTGTCCGACTGATATCGTGCCTTCTGTGACCTTTGTCAGGGGGCGAATGCAATACACGGCTCTTAGCCTTATTCACGACTCGATCCTAGATAGGGTTTGAGTTCGACTCATGACGTAGTCCTTCATGAATAGTCATTGAGACATGGTTCTCATGACTGCTAGTCATACTAGGTTGTCGATGGAACATCGCTCTAGATATTTAGCCGGCGTGGAAAGCTTCCACGCCACTAGACTTCAGCTAGTCGCTACTAGACAGCAACTAGCTGAAGTTTCCACGTGTTCCGGAAATGGACCGTGGAGTACGTAGAGTTATTACCATAACCTACGATATCACACTTCGAGGCCTCCCGCGGGAGACCAACTTCAATGAGCTTCACAACGATCTCTCTCATGGATTAGTTTTCGTAGCTTTCTAATCTCTCTCATAACTTTCATTCTCTCAAACTCAAAACACTCGAAAGATCTTTACACTAGCTTTTAGCGTAGTGCACCAGATTATTCACACCATAGCCAAGGGTGGACGCCAAATTAATAGTATGAGTGGTGTCATCCTCCAGGGAAGTTGCAACCTGAATCTGAATCTCTGTTGTAACCCAATTAAACTCTTTCTTGTGAAGCTCTTTGAGCAGTTCACAGGAAGCTGAATGTGGGGGCATGATGGGTGATAGTGTCTCCTTGTGTCTGTGTGTGTGCTTGCTGCAGGGACTTGTTGTGTTGTGCTGTTGAGGAGACTTGTGCTGTTGAGGAGCTGCCTCGGAGAGTATCACTTAGTCTAAGTGTTTCGCTTAGCCTAAGTGAGTTGCTTTGTATGGCTTAGCCTAAGTGTATTGCTTAGCCTAAGTGTTTTACTTAGCCAAAGTAGATTTTCTTAGCCTAAGTGAAAATTTGTGAGGGACAAATCACGCTATTAATACCCCAATTTTGGACTGTTTTACTATGCAATATAGATATTGGTAGACATTAGTAGACAAAGTGACACATTGGCAGACATTTAGTAGACATTAGTAGACATTTGGTAGACATTAGTAGATATTGGTAGACATTAGTAGACATTGGTAGACATTAGTAGATATTGTGAGACATAAGCCACTTTTACTAAGGAGCAACATTTCAAAGGGGTGGGTGGAAAAAGGTGCAGTGTTTTGGTGCAAGTGCAGTGCTTTTGCACTGCTCTGCACTAGAAAGTACTTTCCACTGGGAGGAATTCACCTTCAACTCACACCCCAACTCACACCAAATTCACACCAACTCACACCCCAACTCACACCCCAACTCACACTCAACTCACACTCTACTCACTTACTTATAAAAGAACTAACTTGCTTTAAAGCTACACTTTCTTTAGTCTTCCTGAATCGCCGTGGTGCTGGCAGTGGCTTGATGGGGAAATTCCCATTGTTGAGCTAGCTTATTGGGACCAATGAATCTTCACTGGAAGGCTTCTAAAATTGAAGGTAGGATATGCACTGACCAAACAAGGGATGGTGTTTCTCATGGTACAACTTTCGGCTTTCAAATCATTTCAATGTGCTTCCTGTGGTCCTTGAGTTACGGTAGCGGTACCGGTGACAGGAGGTGTTGCGGATTGAATGATTCGATTCAATCACGGCTTTCAATGACTCGACGGTGTAAATTCCTTGAAAATGTGAGCGCAAACGGTTTACCAATCTGAGTCTTGTGATGTCCAATAAGTTAAGTGTGAAACTGATAGGATGACTAGCAATAACGCTTAGAGAAAGTGAACTGGTGTTATCCAATAATTAACTTTTGCTGAATGGTTATTCAAGGATTTAACAACTTCAACTCAGCTTCAACTCACTGGGTGTGAATGCACCAACAAAATGCACTTTTTTCCCTCAACGGACTGAGGGTCTTTCACACTTTTATCGCTGTATGTGTGTGTGTGTGTGTGTGTGTGTGTGTTTGTGTGTTTGTTGCAGCTGTTTTCGTCGCATAAGGGACACTTGCTTCGTTAAGAATAGGGATTAATCTTGTGTGTTCTGTTGGACACAGTAGTGGGTATAGTTACTGGCTGGCTATGCAGACTCGCTAGTGTGTCCAGATAAACACGGTGTAGGTTTGGACAAAGACATAAAGGACACTTTCCTGGTTAAGGATAATGATTTATATTGTGTGTTCTGTTGGACACAGTAGTTTGTACACATGGGTACCAGTACTGGCTGGCTATCCAGACTCGCTGGTGTGTCCAGATAAACACGGTGCAGGTTTGGCCGAAGAAGTTCATTAAGGGTAGGGAATCAAATCTCTTTTTGACAGTTGAGGGCATCAGCCTCCGGCTGCTTGTTCTTTCCGCTGTCTCATTTCAAAGCAAGTAAGTGACAAAATGCCAAGTAACCCTGGCCACCCTGGTCCTGCAACTCACCCTGCATAACTATTGCGTCCATTACAAGTGTTGACAACAGCTGATATCGTCATGCCCATGCCCAGAGAAAGACTGTTAGTGATGGCTTTTCTGCCTGGGATGGTTTCTGCGTTTTGGCATGGATCTTCCACATGTTGCTGGATGCAGCAGAGCAAGAGACATCCTGGAGAGAATAATTTTCCATCTCCGATCCCTCGTTGGACCAACACTGTCACCCACACATCGAAGCAATCGCGGTCGAGGACACGTCTGCACATGGCGCTTGTACCGCTGGCAGTGGACGATCTGGATCGATTGCTGGTCGTCAATGGAGCTCCAACAGGAGAACAATCTGCCACATACTGGGGACGAACCCAATGGGAGCGTTACGGTCGGATCTTTGAATCTGTGGTAGTGACAATTTTGGGTGTCATCTTCAGCTATTCTTTGTCTTTTGCCATGGGATCATTCGCTGCGACCGTTTTGGGATCCATCTTTTTATTTTGGTCCATCTTTTCACCGCAGCTGCAAGCGTACCAACGGAATTGGGAGCTTCGAGGAGGAAGAGATTTGGTAGATCCGTGGATCGCAAACATTGACACTGAAAGCGCATTTGATAGTGACGATGATGACGACGAAAGCAGCCGCCTGGGGCTTTTTGGTGCACTCTTCTTGGGCAGAATAGGGGATGTCTGTGTCGTCGAAGAAGCATCCTCACCCAGCGAAGACGAGTTCGACTTGGAAGATTTTGCTGATTACGAAATGGAAGCAGATGAGCTGGAACAATGGGCTGGGAGACCATATCTACTACGAGTCAAAGCAGAGGATTCTGGTGGACGAACATTGCAAGTTCATGCCCGAATGAGCGAGGAGTATACCGACATCGTTCCAGGGCAACCTGTGTTGGGCGTTATGTTAAGCACATCTCCAAAGTTCACGAGTCTTGCAGCTCTCACTGATCTCTTTGTCCCCGACCTGGCATGCTGGATTGGAGACTATCCTTATCTTAACAGAGCTGAAACAGAACAGCTTCTGGCAACTGACGAAGAAATATGGGAACTGCTCCAAGCAGAGTCAACAATCAAACAATGGTAGGCCTGCACCGGTAGCACATCAGAGCACACGAAATGAGCTGTGCTATCTGGAACATCTGCGAGTCACGTGTACAGTCTACTACTCTAGCTAGTAATTGTGAACGACACTGTAACAATAGCGTTGTTGTGAACATTAGACTTCTTGTTATGGATTATTGGTGATCGACGGTGATACATGCATGTGTTGGTTACCAGAAGGTTTGCCCCTGCTCCTTGTTCAGTGGCCATGTGGAGGCCCTCCTCTTCGAGCGCGCTCCCGTTCTAGCATCAGTCTATGTTCCAGTTCTTGATGCGCTCTCAATCGCTGTTGCATCTGCTGTTGCTGTTGCTGCTGCTGCTGCTGTAACAGAGATGGTGAGGAGGAAGACAATGGAAGATTCAATCCACGAGGACCGTTAACTGCACCCATGGTGGGGAGGCCAAGCAGATCGGATCCTGCAACAAGGCCAGCGGGGCCCATCATACGATTGTGTTGGCTGGGGCCGGTCAGCGACAGAGAGCTTCCGACTGTTCCTTGGCCAGCGGCAATCGACCTCCCCCAAGCACTGGTCGACATGCGGCTTGAAGGCCGGTACTTTGTTTATCATGCATTCATACAACGAAGAAGGATGGGATATTCATTCACTGAACCTTCATACACCTGGCACCAACGGGGCTGACTGACTAGAATCCCAACAAGAACAAAAGGGCAAAACCTGTTACACAGACGACCTTCTGTTCACTGTTCCACACAATCCTTCCAGACGAAGAGTGAAGGGCACCTTCAAGCTCCTCTTTTGTTGCTTGGTCATTACTGGTATCTTGTTTGTCAACGGCTAGCTCGTTTTCCGGTTCGCTGCTGGAATTCGTGATGCTGGGGGAGTTGACATCAACACTATCAAAGGGAAACGCTGCACATTGGTGTGTCTTTTCCGGCAGAGCTTCCAGTTGACTCGTTCCAAGGGAAAACACCAACACAGGTAGACTGCTATTGGAGGCTTCCACAGATGATGATGCTGAACGAAGGAAGGATGTGGTGATTTCGTTCCTTCCAGCGGTCACCGGCTTCCATTCGACCAATGGAGTCACATCACTCTGGTCAGCAACAACGTTGGGGTTACCCGACTTTGCAAAGTTGGCAAACCTTGTCATAATCTCGTCGCTGAGATCCCAATCCTCTTGGGTCAGTGACCCGTTCACAAAGTCATGTACCCAACCATCCAAGGTACCAAAGACAAACGGATTCATGGCCAAATGCGAGGACCAAGTTGTTGTGTCAACGAACGGTGCCAATCCAAAGAACATCATGGGATCAGTGATGCTAAAGTGAGCAAAGTTGTACATGTATACGTTTTCGGGGACCAGCGGAGCCACGTGAGAAGCAAAGGCTCGAGTTGGACAACGGATGTACCAATCGCCATGGAACTGGCTGAAGGCTGCTGTGACATCGTTATCGTAGTTGTCCTCAGCATTGTACGCGTCCCAAACATCCGCAGCTATTTGAGAACCGTACATGCTCCCAACAAGCGAGTGAATGGACTCGTTCAAACCAAACTCGGCAAGTTGCAGATATATGTCTGTAGAAACGCCCATAAAGGTTGTGTCTTCGTTCGAGTTGGCTCCAACCAAGAATGCAGATGGGACAATGTTTTCTGGGTCCTCATAAAGGACTCGTGGGTGTTCCGGAAGAATTTCACGATCCAAGACAATGACAGACCAGCCAACTGCAGCCGACATAAAGTTCAAGCTCGCGGCATCCACTAGAGAAGAATTCTTGAGTTCATCCAATGACACCACGCCGGTAGCATTAATCAGATTGGAGACAGCTTCAAAGGCATACTCGTAGTCTTCATTTGGGACATCTCTCATCCAGTGGTTGAACCTGCACTCACCACTCTGAAGAACAGCTCGGTGAAACAAACCTTTCGCAAGCGGAGAAACGGAAAGCATGCAGATGGACTCGCCCCCAGCACTCTCTCCAAGCAGTGTTACTTCGTCGACGTTGCCACCAAACCCTGCTGCATTTGATTGAACCCACTTCAGTGCCATCAATTGGTCATAAATGCCATTCATGGCGCCTACTCCAGTGTCATCCTGAGGCAGGAATCCAAGCGCCCCCAACCGATAGTTCAGCGTTATCACCATGACATGTTGACTGCGTGCTAGGTTGGAACCATTGTAAACCGCATCGGCTCCAGAACCAATCATAAAACCTCCTCCGTGAATCCAGACCATGATGGGCAGCGGTTCTTCGAGAGAAATATTCGACGGGCGCCAAATATTCAGATAGAGGCACTCCTCTGCTTCCTGGCGAGGCTGATAGAGAAACTCGGGCAACCCGGGATAAGCCTGGTGACAGTTACTGCCATACTCCTTTGCTATTGTTTCAACGTCATCGGGAAGATCCAATTGAATGCTTCTTGAAAACCTATCGCCGACGGTGGCATACTGAATTCCCAAAAATGAATCCACCCCGTTTTCAGAAGATCCAATAACCGAAGCACCAGTTGGGAAGTCGACAGCCAATGGGGTTTGCGCTGTGGCGAGTTTGGCTGTGGCAAAAGCGACTGCCAAGGTGAACCCAGTGAGCTTCATGTTTCGTCTTTTTTCGTTGTGTTGTGTGTTGTGGAATTGTTGAAAGTTGAGATAATGAGCTCGAGATCGTTCATTGCAGAAAACCGCTGATCGAGTCAAGTCAAGTCCCACTTCAAAAAAGATCCACTCGTGGCGATCAGGATCATCGTGGACTCCCGACACCAGGAACCAATAAGCCATCGGAGCTGTTGTACCTCGACTGAAAGACAGTATGGTACATATACATGTAGAAAAAGGAGAACATTGCGCCCTTCTTTGATGCCGGCCCTAGCTAGCAACAACAGCATGACAGTTCCCAGCCCTAACGCAGAAGCGAGCCAAAAATACGTCTATGCCTCAGTCCTCCACAGCTCAAGAAAGCCATATGTAAAAGGGAACCGTGGCAGTACCTGTACCGGTACCTGGAGACGTCTGCAACATACCATTCGGCTTGCACGGAACCATAATGGTTGGCGGGAGTTACATTGATGCACAATCGGTTAGTGGTGGGCTTTGTGCTAGCTAGTCAAGTCTCATCCCTTCTTTGTTGCTCAGAACGAATAGTCTAACTTGCTGCTTCAGCCTCGTGATGGGAAGATGCAAAGCAATGTGACGGAACAGAAATTATTGCGCTGGTTTCCGCAGTACATCTGAAACTATGCACTTTTTGTAGACGCAACGAGCATTAGCAGCCGGAACACCCCACGATGCGGCATATGCCATAGAACCGAGAACCGACACCGCCAAAGAGAGCTTCCGTCGCTTCTTCTGACCCTCAAACTTATAGCGCTCTCATATGCCCTGCTGTGCAGTCCAGTCCAGCCGTATCCGGTTTTCAACACCCGCTTTGATTCTTGTCAATGATCTTGATGCGGCATCCCAGGTGGTTCTCGCAGAGCTTATGTGTGACCGGCTGCTGCTGTTTGGTGTCTCCGATGCAAAAGGCAGGCCAGAGTTGGGCATAGGGCATGGCGTCGGCTCGCAACAACCCACGGTTGGATCTGCTAGCTCAGTTTGTTCGAATTGGCTGCAGTTTCACAAGCCCCACTTGCTTGTGGATTGCGCACCTTACCTCCCTCCACCTGGCACCCGTCAGGCCAAAGAGCCTGCAAGGATTGACTTGGTCTACTCAGCTCTACTCTTAGTTTTGGTTTCATGTGGTCTTGAACCCTGTTGCCTGTACATGATCTTTCATTTACTCATGCTTTCAGGCACAAGTAGTCTTGAACGGTTACATGTGTAGCTGTTGTTCGTTGAATTGTGTGATCAGTGTGCCGGTACTAGCTAGATTCTATTCAGAAGCTGCATGCATGGCGCTTGGGCTGCTACACTGGTATTAGTCTCTGTGGGCCACCTTCGCTTCGCTTTCAGCAGACTGCCTGTTTACAAGTAAGCAAGCTTCTGTAAGAATGCTGGAAGGACAAAGATACGACCACACGAGCTCCACACGACCACTGCGGACTGCGGACGGTTGCTGAACCTGAACCAAGCATCGATGACTCCGAGTCGTTGACATTTAAGCTTATTTACGACACATTTCTGGCAGACGACACACGAAGATAAGTCTAATCTGAGAGTTCTACTGTTCTACTTTCCCCTGACGACTCTTTTCATAAATCTAGAATTTACGGAAGTGTAGCTGTTTCTTTAAGATAGTATTGCTCGAGAAGTTTTACGAGAACTGAAACTGGCAAACTGGATTTAACAGTCATGAAGTCGCGGCTTCTTCAGTAATCGTCTTACTGATGTGAGTTCTAAAGAGCTGCGGATCAGAAAGCCCTTTAGTCAAGAAATCCCCGCTTGTTGTTCTGGATTGTTCATTCCTGAAGAGCAGGTAAACGTCCGTGGCTGAATGAATGTCCGACTTCCGACTATGCAGCTCAGCAGCTCAGCTCTTATTTAGCCGTCATATCAGCTATTCAGGCGACTTACTGAGTACTTGTGCAGATTCACCTCCACGGTTGTTCCAGGAACACAAGCTTCAGAAAATCATGTTTAAAATGGTGTGCCCGAAGCCCGAAGTATGCCAACCAATTAATTAACGATTAAGGACCTCTCGCACCACTGAACGTACATAATGTATCGTAGTTTGCGTTTTGGCGTTTTGGCACTTAAGCCTCTTATCTGCTGATACTCTGCTGATGCTGCATGACACTGAAGCATTAGTCTGCATTTTGGCACTTGAGCCTGTCGAACGTTACGCCGCATCAAGGAGACAACCAGTTCGAGGCTCCTTTGGCGCAAAGCAATTTTGTCTGGTCTTGCCGGCACCTTTGAAGCACCTGCACTCTCTATCTCTCGTTTCTCCTTGCTCTCACTATCATAAATTCCAATCCAAGCGAACAAGAAAAGACCTTGCAGTTGGCAGTCCACATCATTATCTACAACAGATCCACACCTCGTTTGTTTCCATGAACAATTTTACAAACAACGGAAACAACAGAACTGATCCACGCAATCGCCCAAACGCCCCCCCCCCCCCCCAAGCAGAGAATGAAGCAAGGTTGACCCTCAAGATGCTTCTGGACGCCTCCTTCAAGCTGAGGCAATTCGTCGGGAGCTTGATCGCTTGAACAATCACAGCTACAATCACTCACACTTGCAGGTAACAGGTAACAGAGCCATTGCTTTCCCCCAGCAGCAGTTCCTGGGGGGACGACAAGCAGACTCCAGACTTGCAATGGAACAGGCTCTTTTGGGCGCTCACCAGCGAGGACTAGCGTCCCGTACCTCCTTTTTGGTTGGGGATCTTCACGCAAGGCAGACAGCACATGCTGCTGCCGCTGTTGCATTGCTTGGAAGCAACCGCGTTCCTCCCCCCGCAAGCCAGTTGCTGATGTATGGAGGTGACAGTCGCCACCAGCTTCAAGCAGAGAATCTTTTGATGGAGCAACAGCGCCAAAATGTACTGATTGGAGCTGGTGCCCCGGCATCGATAGCGCTCAGCAACGCCAATGCCTTTTCCAGTGCTAATCGATCAAGTGGAACGACCCTTCAGTTCGAAGGTAATCAGTCCATTTTTAATCAATCAGGGCAAAGCCTAGAAGGAAGGATTGCCTCTCCTGCGGACCTTTTGAGCGGAGACGTCGGGCTTCGCTCTTCATCGGCATTGGCAAGTGAACCCAAGGAAGAAGCAAAGGTTGCAAGGCTGCCGGCTCGTGAGAATGCGGATGAAGATGACGAGGACGGCGATGTATCAGACCAAGATGAGGATGCCTTGGACGATGAAGCCTTCTACCGAAAGCGAAACTCTGTTGAGACCGTTGAGGATCTCCGCTTGCAGAACGAAACATTCCCGGTCAAGCTCTACCGAATGCTCTACGAGGTGGAAAAGAACGGGAAGGCCGACATCGTGTCCTTCCTGCCCCACGGACGCAGCTTTGCCATCCACAAGCAGAACGAGTTCGCCACGATCCTTCCAGGGTACTTTGCGACAGACAGAATGGCTTCTTTCCAGCGCCAGCTAAACCTCTATGGCTTTCGCAGGATCACAGATGGAAAAGACAAAGGGGCCTTTTTCCATGAGAAGTTCACCCTTGGGAAACGCAGTCTATGCAAGAAGATCAAACGAAAGCGAGGGAACCGCAGGTCTTCCTCCAGTCTCCGCCGCGGCTCCCAGGCATCCTCGTCCTCGACTTCCATGGCATCCCAGCAAGGTCAACATCAGCATGGTTCT